TAAGACCTACCAACGTCTTGTAGGCAACCTAGCTTACATCGAAGTCATGACGCGACCTGACGTCGCACACGCCCACTCGGTCCTTGCAAGGTTTCTCACAAACCCTGGACCAATCCACCTCTCCGAGATTAAGCACGTGTGGCAATACCTGTACGGTACTCGATACCTTGCCATCAGTGCTCGAGGGGGTGAGCCAACACAGACTTATGCCACCAAGATCGATGCAACTACTCCTATCTTCTTTGGTGCTGCTGATGCATCGTTTGGAGATGATGTTGAGACTCGTCGATCGTCTGCTGGATACGTCTTCATGCTTTACGGCATGCCTATTGACTGGAAAGCCACTGTGCTTCGGTCAGTCACTCGTTCTACTACTGAAGCAGAGCTGTATGCTCTCTCAGCTGCTGGTGTTGAATCGCAATATTGGGATCGCTTCTGCCGCAACATCGGCTTTACTCTTTATACTAAGAAGGCTCTTTGGTGTGACAATGCGCAGACCGTACGCCTTGTCGAAGGTGACGCTGATCGCATCCAAACGAAGCTTCGCCATGTTGATATCCATCAAATGTGGCTTCGCCAGGAGGTAGACTCTGGAAGAATCACTGTCGAATGGAAGCCTACTGCTGACATGCCTGCTGACGGCTTCACAAAGCTGCTTCCTCGACAGAAACACGAGAACTTCATACGCCAGCTTGGCTTGAAGGACATTCGTCACCTCATTGTCAAGGACATTCCTTGTCCTGTACCTCCTGTTTAGTCAGACTAGGTGCGCAGCACGCACGCACTTCGCTCTCTTAACCTGTTTTTTCTCATATAGTTATAGACTCCGCAACAATCAATTCAATCCGGTCACTCTCCTAGACCCACTTACCTATCTAGGTAGGGCTTAAACTCCTATAGGTAACTACTAGGCTTAAAGCGGTAATCAATCAATCCAATCTGAACCTTCTAGGACCCACTTAATTGATTGTTGCGGACTGTGTATAGTTATGTGAGGTTTCCATCCAACATGGATACCTCAGGGGGTGTGTCAGCCTGGCACCTCAGTTCACCTGGTACACTGTGAACTGTATCTCACGTGACTCTTCGTCACCTGCTTACTCATCTCGGTTGTGTATATAATCGCTCTATGTAGCTCTCTCAATACAACAACCTTCTTCCTCTCTTCTGCCCTGTCCTACATCCGACATAAGCGTAAGGACTGCTTGGTAGTAGCTTGCTGGCTTTTTGTTTGTCTTCTTTTTTGTAGACACTGTAGTCCATGTGTTTCCGTTGTTCTGGGCGGCTACGCTAGCGTATGATGTCTTGTTTTGTTGGGTGTTTTGGGTGTTTTGGGTGTTTTGGATGTTCTGGGTGTTCTGGTTGTTTGGTTTTTCTTGGTTGTTTGGGTTTTGTGGTCCAGTTGCGGCATTAACAGCTTTCTTTAGTGTCTTTGTAGCTTGTTGGGAGGCGCTTGTAAGCGTTGCAGTCTGGTACGCAAGCTGTGCTGTAAACTTCTCAGTCATTTGCTGCGTAACCCTGCCTAGTTCCGTAAAGTCTCTAAAGACGTCCAGTAGTTGTAGTAGTTTGTTTTGGGATAGATGGGATTCGGCCATAGTAGATGCTTGTAGAATTAGGTCCCTTGCCCAGAAGATTGCTTGGGTTGAGTCCTTTGCTCTTGGTTTCTTTTCTTGGCTGTTCTGGAATGGGTTTCTCTCTCTTGTAGTTATCTCTGGGGAGAATGCCGCTGGTCTTTTATTTAGTGGTGGCTGAATAATTAACCTTGGTGTTTCTTGGGTGGTCTGCTCGATGGGTGTTGTTGGGTTGTCTTGGTGCCTTTCGTCGGTCTCCATTTCGTCGTCCAGTGTGCTTGAGGTCCGGAGGTCTTCTGGTAGCTGGACTACGATAGTGTCGCTATCTGGGGCCATTTTAGCCTCTCTGTTGTCTTGTTGTTGTTGTTTCTTGGCTTGGTCTGTGCGTTTGCTTCTGAAAGTTCGGACGCGTCGCGTTTGGGGTACTAGACTCCTTGTATCTCCACAACCACGCGGCTGCACGGCTTGGGAGTAGTCGGAATCTATTTCTTTCGATGGATATAGTTGGTTTCTGATGGAGTTTCACGTGTTCGGAAAAAACTCGAAGTTGTGTGTTCGCGCTAGTCTAACCCAGCGTCTGTACGCTCTCATCTTCAGCAGTGCTATTATCTGACACGGATTCTCTTTTCTTGAATCTCTTTAAATAGGACCCAAAGTATCCGTGTCCTATTTTGAGAGCATAGAAGGCGCTAGAGATTTCTCGATTAGTGCTGTTGGGAATCGAACCTGCGGTAGATAAGGCAGCTAGTTGCTGCATGCACGAGCTTGGATTATTCATACTACTGTAACGTGTCCGTGCACCTTGTGCCCGGATTCATCTCATGCCCCGCGAACACCATCTTAGCGATCTCAAATTTGAAGCTGTACAACACCACACAATAGCTTAATATTAATAAAAACATAGCATTGCAGTAATTAGATACTTGCGATTAACTTGTACTATCTGAATTTTTGTGGGAGGTTGACGTTGCGGCCACGTGATGTGGTCTTTGGTGGTGGAGGCGATGGAGGAGATGCAACTCTATCGCGAGCTCTATCCTCCATCGCTCGTTTTTGACGCTTGTTCTTAGAAGAGGGCGCTCTTGAGGCTTTACGCTTGCGTTGTTGAGCTTGTTGGGTGGCTTTTTTCTGGTGTTGAGCTTCAACTTTGCGCGCGCGTTCAGCTGCTTTCTCAGCTCGCTCAAGCTCCCTTATCTCCTTGAGCCTCTGCCTCTCTACACGCTTCTCCTCGAGCTTAACTTGACGCTGCAGTTGAACCTCCTCACGCTGCTTCTTGGCCTGTGCTTTTTGGAGTTTCTCCTCTATCTTATCTCGCTCCCGTACTACTTCTCTAGCTCGAGCCTCGCGTATCTTGCGAGGAGACCAGAAGACAGAGCCACCGTGATACTCCTGGCGCTGTTGAAGGTCAAGAGCTTTGCCCTTCTTCTTATGCTTCTTTTTATGTTGAAGAGCCTCCTTTAAGCCCTCGTTCTCATGCTGTAAAA